TTCCTGTTTAACGTCAAGACAGAATGCAGACCTAAGCATTTTCTGAATGAAATTCATCCTGATATTCATAGGCATGTATCCGGTTATCAATACCGCCCACCGTTTCAAAGGTAATTTTTCGTGTGCCATCGCCCACTAAACGGCATTGGTTGTCTCTAGTTGGGTCTCACAAGAAACGCCGTAACGCGGTGGGTTTTATCCGTAGACAGGACATATCACGGATACTGTTACATACGATGATCTGCTTTGACGTCCTTGTTTGACTTTTAGCGCAGCTTATGAAAGAAGAATAGAGACCCTGAAGGTCGACAAGATGAACGGATAAGTGACCGTTAGATTTGGCTCATTTTCTAAAATGATTTCCACCTTTCTGTAGCATACAAATGAATAGACGTAGATTTTTACACCCCCTGGGTAGAATCCGATGATGAACAAGCCAATCATTATTGGATTTGAACAATCCAGTGTCGGAAAATGGTTAGTCCTGGAATACTTTGTTTTGAATCGACCGGATGCATCGGGTTTAGGCACGCTATACTATCATACATTTTTTCGTATTTTCCGAGACATGGATCTCATCAAGACTACCTTCTAGTAGTCCAGAATTGTATGTGAGTCTGTGTCTATTCCATCATATAGACAGTTTTCGTGTTTCGCGCTAAAAAACAGCAAAAATGTGCAGTTTGCAGAGCGTACAGACTATGTAAACAGCTTTATGATCACCGATTCGAACTTCGAGAAAACTCAGATAGCGTATGCTGTAGCTGACTCCCGAATAAATGTGAAACAGCTGCTCACCGGTTTCCGGAGCTTGTATCAAAACTGTTTGCTGTTTTGTCCAGCGGATTCCGTATAATTCCAGTGATTATTGGAAGCTTAGTGCTTGAGTCTAATATTCCATATCAGGCTCATTAAAGCGCGCTCGTGAGCTCACCTTTTTCGCCTTTTAACTTGAGGGCCTACTTATCACAGTTCCCTTATTCCTCATGGTGTGGGTCTCAAGAGTCATGCGTCGCTACTTCAGACTCACCTATCTCTTGATTATCGACCGTGGCTCTGTCGAGTCTTACTGAACTTTCAGCGCTTTGTCACATTTTGAATACACCATGCGGGAAACCATAAGTGCGAATTGGGTGGTGCCAGTTGAGTTCCTCTAATACTTACTTCATTGCATGGAGTTTTCTTGAAAGGCTGAACCCAAAGATATGAACATTTTTTTATTCCAGTGGTTGAAACACTGCTAGAAGACCTCTGTGACATCGAGATCAATGGTGAAACCCAAACTACCATACCACTGACACAACTCAAACAACGGCTCAAGCTTTCTGCGGCTTCATATGGAAATTCGCGAACTGGTGACAACTTCAACAATCGACTGCTACAAGTTCTGTCCTACTTGGCTGGTCAAAGTAAGTATTGATACCTGACAAGGTCAAAAAAGGGAAAGATGTGTTCTCCTATGTCAGTGAACACATTTTGTTGAGCTCTGATCACGTCTTGTTCTTTTACCGTTGAGATCAGTTGGTTGATGAGACAGCTTGACAAACAGTCGAGATTTTTGTAGAACGTCACTTTGTAACTTATTGATTCACCGATAAACAGGTGGGCCTTGCAGAACGTTCACTCTGTTGTCAAACTTGCCCTGGTATCATGTTTCGAATTGTGTTAGAACCAAAGAAGGGCTTGCTTTTTCTGGCAGCGTATGCCTTGTACGTTAGTCGGACGAAATTAACTCAGCTGATATTGTCTATTGCTAACGCATAGTTCCAACTTTTTAAAACTGTTCTCAAGATTTAAGTAACTGCCGTATGC